CTGAGCCGAAGGCAGACATATTCAATGACTGAGCCACCCATGCGCCCAGCATATTTTTTTTTTTTTTTTAAGATTTTGTTTATTTATTTATTTGACAGACAGAGATCACAAGTAGGCAGAGAGGCAGGCAGAGAGAGAGGAGGAAGCAGGCTCCCTGCTGAGCAGAGAGCCCCATGCAGGGCTCGATCCCAGGACCCTGGGATCATGACCTGAGCCAAAGGCAGAGGCTTTAACCCACTGAGCCACCCAGGCGCCCCCCAGCATATTTTTCATTACATATATTGTAATTTCATTTTTAGAAGGTTGAATTGAGTGTTCTTTGTGTCCATGTCTTTAACTTTTTGAACATATGTAATAGAATTCTTATAACTTAGTTAATATCTTTGCTAATTCTATTATCTGTATCGGTTTTGGGTCAATTTTGGCCGATTGTTTGCTATTCATTATAGGTGAATTTTCTTACTTTACATGTCTGGTAATCTTTGGATGCCAGACATTATGGATTTTATCTGTTGGGTGCTGAATACTTTTGTACTCCTAATAATATTCTTGAGTTTTATTGTGGGAGATAGTTAAATTATTGGAAATTTTGGATCTTGCCTTTAAGATTTGTTTGGCTGGACCAGAGGCACATTCATTCTAATGCAGCGTTTCTCAATATCAACACTATAACATTTTGGATCAGTTTATTTTTTGTAGTGAAGGGCTATATTGTGCTTTGTAATATGTTTAACAACATCCCTAGCCTTTACCTTTTAGGTGTCCCCCCCTCCCAGTCATGACAACCAAAAATGATTCCAGAAATTGCCAAATGTGGGGAAGAGTGGCTAATTGCTCCCAGTTGAATAACTACTGCTTTAGGATTAATTTTGTCTCAATACTATGGCAAGATCTTCGGTTTGCTTTACCCAATGCCCCATGGATTGTGAGTTTTTTGTGGTTTTTGTTTTTGTTTTTGGTCTGGCTGTTTGGGGTAGGCACTTTTACTGGTCTTGTGTATATACTGTATTTGTTCCTCCTAATCATTCTGGGTGGTTCTTTTTTCTGTACTGTTTTGTTTCCTCATGTATATGTGATGATCAGTATTCAGCTACATGTTTAAGGGCAAGTCTACAGATCTCCGGGGTCTGTTTTAGTCTTTTTGGGTTACTATAACAAAATGACTGTAGACTGAGTGTCTTAAACAAAACACAGTTCTGGAGGTTGAGGAGTCCAGGATAAAAGCCCAGAAGATTTGGTGTCTGGTGAGGGCCCGCCTCCTGTTTCATAATCAGTCATCTTCTAGCTTTGTCTTTAGATGATGGAAGGGGTGATGAACTTTCTGAGATATCACTTATAAGGGAACTAATCGCATTTATGGGGGTTCTGCCTCATGACCTAATCATCTCCTAATTGTGGACTAGGATTTTAATATATGAATTTTGGGGAGACACAAACAGTCAGTCCATAACAAGTTCTCTCTGTGCACTTTTCTCCTCTCCAGTATTCTGTTTCATGAACACTAGCCACCTGGATCTACCCAGACTGTCAGCTCCATCTCCTCAGCTCAGCAAGTCTGCCAGGCCTCACCCATTTGGGTCCTGTGCCACACATCACTTGGAAACTCTCAAGGCAGTAAGCTGGGGCAGTAGGGCTCACTTTGTTTCACATCTCTCAGGGATCTTTTTTGTCTGATGCCTAGTGTCTTGAAGTTAGATTCCCGCCCGCCCCCCCATATATTATGTCTATTATTTGGTTGTTTGAGGTAGCAGAGTAAATTGGTCCCTCTTATTTTATCTTGGTCAGAAACAGAGTCTCTTTAACTGATAATTTATTCATATTAATTATTGATTAAAGTTGAAAGTGTTCTGGGGTTCCTGGGTGGCTCAGTCGGTTAAGCGTCTGGCTCTTGATTTTGGCTCAGGTCGTAATCTCAGGGTCTTGAGATAGAGTCCTGCATCAGGCTCTACGCTGTGCCTGGCACTTGCTTGGGATTCTCTCTTTCCCTCTCCCTCTGCCCCTCCCCCTCAAAAAAAAAAAAAAGCTGAAAATGTTCTTAAAAACTTATTAACCTAATTTCTTCATTTTTTGGATTTGTATGAAACTTACAGCTGCCATATGTTTGTTCAAAGTCTACTGTTTCGTGTAGTTTCTATGGCACAACATAAATATTAAATTGGCCCTAAAGCCTTTTATCATCTTTTTAATATACCTCTTTAGAGCAGGTTTCACATTGTTAGCTAAATATGGGTCTCTAACTATATGTAGTAACATACAATTAAAGGACATGTCCTGACTTGATGAATGAAGCACATTAATGGAGTGTGTCATGTTTTTAGGGCATTGCCACAGCAGGCTCAAAGACTTCCAGAAGGCTTCCTTGTGTAACTCATATTTTCTAACAGCTAAAACACCAGGTTCAAAGCCTATTAGCCTGATTGAGGGTATAGAGAACTGGTGATATAAGACGGGAAAAAAACCTATGAGAGAGAAGATCATTTTGAGCAATGTATGAGACAAAACCATACTGAAGGATCATGCTATAAGGATGGGAGTGACTTGGAACCCATTGGTGGTAAGCTGTTTAAGAAAGGAGAAAGCCAGCAGAATAGAAAATAAAATGACAGAAGAAATCTGGCCTTTTTCTGTGTGGGATAAGCTTCCCAAATGTGCTACATTGTAACTGCTACAGAGTTTGTAGCATGTGCTTGTTGGATATTCAAAGATGAAGTAATTTATTCAGAGCATATCTTGGAAAAAAGATGCATGTAGTGGGTAGGATGAAACCATCTGGGTATATATATGAACTAAAATAGCAAAATGATATTTTAATGGAATTTTATATATATGTAATAACGTATACTAAATGATATACATTAATGTGTATAAAATTCAGTGTTAAACTGCATAAAATGTGTAATTCCTTGGCCTTAGGGATGGTGTTGTAGCTAAAAAGAGCTGAGTAAGAGAGAGTTCTTATAGCTCTACAGTATATAAGAATTAGCCTTTTAAAACGTACATGTACTTACAGGTGGATGTGCTGTTAATTTCCTAAAACTGAAAAGCCGTTGTGGATTGATAATATGAAACACTCTGTTTGGAAACAAAATATGATTTAAGGCTTCCAAAAACTAGGATATTGTTTTTTAGGAATTAAGGAATATTTAGTGAGTATTTCTTGCTGGCTGAATATTTCTGATGGTGTAAGTGGTGCTCATGTAGTTAAGTAACTTCCTTTTTTAATTGATTATGAGTCTTCATGGCAAGAGTTTGTGTGGATAGGGGAAGAATAGGATAGTAGCAGTTTTTACTTTTCTCATCATAAATAAGCATAGAAGGTTTTTCATAGCCAAATATGCATGTTATAAGGAAATGATAAACACCAAAATCAAGAATTATTTCATCTGGGAAGGAAAGGAAGGGGATGATACCAGAGAGGGACATTCACTTGTATTGATGTTTTGTCTTTGGCTTTTTAAAACAAACTTTTAAAATAGAGTTTAACATGGGGCACCTGGGTGGCTCAGTGGGTTAAAGCCTCTGCCTTCGACTGAGGTCATGATCCCAGGGTTCTGGGATCGAGCTCCACGTCGGGCTCTCTGCTCAGCAGGGAGCCTGCTTCCTCCTCTCTCTCTGCCTGCCTCTCTGCCTACTTGTGATCTCTATCTGGCAAATAAATAAATAAAATCTTTAAAAAAAAAATATATATATATATATATAGTTTAACATACATAGAGAAAAGTGTAGACCATAAGTATACAGCTTCTTGAATTTTTACTAAGTGAACATACCTGTATACTGATTAAGATACCTGTATATATATATAACATACCTGTATACTGATTAAGATACCAGATTAAGAAACAGAGCATCTGTTTAATTGGAATTATTGGAATTATTTTATATTTTTTCAAGCGGGGTAATGGGCACATGGGTATTTCTTGCATCATTCTTTGCTGCTGCTGTTGTTGTTATGCTTTGAAGTTTGCCTACTGTGTTTTTTAAAGAATCATTTCAGAAGGAAAGAGGATCTTTAGAAATCTGGGAAATGTCAGAAAACCCACATGCTTTAGTAATTGAGAAAAGTACTTTAGGGAAATAGGGTTTTTTTTTTTAATGTAGGCCTTTGTCTCCTGTGTATCTTATAAACCTTACACAGATCCAAGTTACTGAAAGTTTTAAAATGGAAAAAGAATATAAACAGAACTGTATGGATCAAGGTAGTAAAAATTATTAGTACTTTTTGAAACAGTACATTATTGGCCTTCTATAAGCCAACATAAAGTTTGGGTCTTCAAATTTGTGAGTACATCAAAATGACAGTTTTCTTTTAAAATTTTTGTCACTGAAATCTTGGTGGTAGTTTAAGAAGGAAATTGCTTAATCAGTTCTATAATGGTATATTCAAGGTGTAGATAGAAGGAACTGAGCTATTAAGATACTTAAAGATATTTATATCACGTCTACAGGCTTTATATCTGTTGTAGAAATTGTTATTTGTATAGTGGATAGAAATATGTTTAAGGAGTTTCCTAAAACTAGTTATCTATCTGCCTTTGTGTTTTATTTTTGTTTTTGTTTTCTCATTTTGGAGAGGTGGGAGATACTTAATCAAACATGAAGATTTCTGAAATTTGGTTTGTTTTTATGTATTACATATCTTTCTGTATTTCATTTTATGAAAAGCATTAATATAGGATTTTTCTCAATTCTCAACAGTAGGCTTTTTCTAATTAAGTTATGGTTGCTATGGTGTGGAAAGGCCATTTGTAAAGTAACTTTTTGTAAAAATCTTTAGTCATTAGCCTTCCTTCTGCTGTGGGTTTATATGTATAAAATTATTAGAATGTTAATCTACTGAAAACCAATCACTGAGTAATTGTCATTCCTTTTACTCTCTTCTAGAAGTTAATAGAACAATGTAAATTGTTGTTTCTGGTATGTTTGCATGTTTTTGGTCTTAACGGAGTTGTTAGGACACACTGAAGATTTTGTTTTGTTTTCCTATTTTCCCTGGACAGGCAGTGGAGGAGGAAATGGCTGTTCCTAATCACCTTTGCATTCGTCGCTGGACAACCAAGCATGTAGCTGTTTGGCTGAAGGATGAAGGCTTTTTTGAATATGTGGACATTTTATGTAATAAGCATCGACTCGATGGAATCACATTATTAACATTGACTGAATACGATCTCCGGTCTCCTCCTCTGGAGATTAAAATCTTAGGGGACATTAAAAGGTTAATGCTTTCAGTCCGAAAATTGCAGAAAATACATATTGATGTTTTAGAAGAAATGGGATACAACAGTGACAGTCCCATGGGTTCCATGACACCTTTCATTAGTGCTCTTCAGAGCGCAGAGTGGCTCTGTAATGGGGAGCCTTCACATGACTGTGATGGACCCATCACTGATTTGAATTCTGATCAGTACCAATACATGAATGGTAAAAACAAACATTCTATTCGAAGATTGGACCCAGAGTACTGGAAGACCATATTGAGTTGTATATATGTTTTTATAGTATTTGGGTTTACATCTTTCATTATGGTTATAGTCCACGAGCGAGTGCCTGATATGCAGACCTACCCACCACTCCCAGATATCTTCTTAGACAGGTAAGTTTTAATTCTAGTTGCCAAGTTTGTAGAAAGTTGCTATAACACAGTAATAATAATGTATTTATGATCATTATGTTTTTTATTATTATTTTGGTTGATGCACACTTTGTTTGCTTTATCTGGTAATATATGCAGATATACTTTGAAATTACCTTTTTGTCCTGGAGTAAATTTAGACATTAAGCCTGTGTCAGTGGGAAAGGTCACTGCCTTTTTTTTTTTTTTTTTTTTTTTTTTTTTTTTTTTTTTTTTTTTTTTTTTTTTTTTTGTAGCTATATCATAGCTTGTTGGGCACTTGAGATTGTAAAAGGGTTTCGTGGAATGTTGTCTGTAATAAATGAAATTTGGTTACTTTTTTTTTTTTTTATGATGAACAGGGTTCAGCTTTTCCAAAAGTAGGGGGAGGACTCCTGTATTACCACATAAATTGGAATTATCACAAATAGTACAAACTGATTCATTGATAATATCTTATTTTTATGAAATGCTGAGTGCATAATAAAGAATATAGTATATGCATATGAAAAATAAGACAAACAAATTTCAAAACTGTTAGCTTTTATATTTGTGATTTTTTTAAAGCTTTTATAGTTTGTAGAGCTTTCTTGTTTGTTTTTATAAACTGTTTTACCCTTCTGAAAGTGCCTTGTAGTATATGTTTTTTTTTTAATGAAATGAATCAGTATATCCATATTACAATGTCAGAATGACATACATACCACATTTTGTTCCTCTCAAACCCTGACTAAAAATATAGTAAAGAGGTTTTTGTTTGTTTAAGTGGAAAGCCTACAAAGATAGGGCAGATAAGAGAGGAAAAAGCAGTCATACATTTTTGGAAGTTTGAAAATAGATGTTTGAGTGGCAACTAACAGATCTAAAATGACTTAATTCTAAAATGGCAGTTAGGAAAACAGAACCAACCCAGTCTGTGTTGCAGATTTCTCAAAGTTCTGGATATTGCAGGTAAAAGGGTGGTGCTAAATACGAAGAATCTAGTGAAACTGTTTAAGAAGCTGTTAGATCCCTATATCTCCTCCTCTATTCCGTACAGTTTTCCCAACTAAAAACAAAAGAACCTAAGGAAGTAAGGAAGAAAGCATGTGGATATCTGGGGAAAGGGTATTCTAGACAGAGGAAACAAGGTGCAAAAAAATTTTGAATTGGTAGTATCCTTAGCATGTTCAAGAAACAGCAAGTGAGAGATGGAGAGAACTGTTGGAGATGAAGTCTGAGAGGAGACAGGAATCTAGATTGTATAGTGACTTGTAGACTGTTTTATGGACTTTAGCTTTCATTCTGAATGAAAAGGGAAGCCATTAGAAAGTATTTAGGAGAAGAGTACAGTGATCTAACTTCCATTTTAAAAGGTACCTATAGGGGCGCCTGGGTGGCTCAGTCGTTAGGCGTCTGCCTTCAGCTCCGGTCATGATCCCAGGGTCCTGGGATCAAGCCCCGAATCGGGCTCCCTGCTCTGCAGGAAGCCTGCTTTTCCCTCTCCCACTCCCTCTGCTTGTGTTCCTTCTCCGCTGTGTATCTCTATGTTAAATAAATAAATAAAATCTTTAAAAAAAAATAAATAAAAGGTAACTATAGTTGTTGTTTTTGAGAATAGCCTGGGTGTGGGTGTGGGAAAGCAGGGATTAAATTAATTGAATTCATCTAGACAGAAATGAGGTGAATTGGATGAGAATAATAGTGGGAGAGATGGTGTGAAAGAGTCAAGTTCTATTCATATATTTAGAAAGCACCGTGACAAGATTTGCTGATGGATTTGTATGTAAAGTGTAAGAAAAAGAAAAAAGTCAAGGATTACACTTGAGATTTTTGACCTGAGCATCTGGGTTGGAGTTGCCCTTTACAGAAATGGGAAGACTATGGAAGAAACTGAGTTGGAGAGAAAAAATAAGGATTTGGTTTTGGACATGTCAAATTTGAGATGTCTTTTACACAAGATCAGATGTCACATAAGAGACAGAAAGATGAGCTGGAGTTCAGAGAGATACAGGCTGAAATTTGGAAGTTGCCATAATAGGTAAAGCCATGATGTGAGATAAAGTATTCTAGGGAATGAGTTTGGAAGAGGAAAGAAGATTATAGATGGAGCCCAAGAACAGTGTAATGGAAGTCTTAGAAGTAAGGCAAAACCAGCAAAGACAACTGAAAATGTTAGGGCAGAAAGAAAGTAGTATTCTAGAAGCAAACTTAAAAAAAAAAAAAAAAAGTAAGAGGGCAGGAATAATTAATAGTTAACTGTGTGAAGTTCTGCTGACGGATCAAGTAAAGTGGATAATTGATGACTGGATTTAGCAAAGTGTTGGTCATCTGTGACCTTTACGAGAGTCAGTAAGAACAAAAGCTAATTGTTAGGATTCAGAAGAGAATAGGAGACTTTCTGGAACTTAGCTAAAGATATATATCCACAAATATGAAACAGCATATGTACAAATTTATTCATGTGACATTATTTTTAGTAATTGTAAAGATTGGAAAATTAAATGCTTATCCATGGAAAACTGATTGAATATACTATATTCAGAGTCTATATAGCAGAGTACTATTTAATCAAACAAGAGTGAGGAAGATTTCTAAGAACTGATATGAACTGGTTTTAAGTGTGGGGCAAGGAAAGTATAAAATGAGTAAAACAGCTCTTGTTCCATAACCCATGGGAGTGCATAAAACCAATGAAAGCACGTCAAAAGAGTGTACAAGTCAGCTTGAAGGGGCTTGTACTGAGCAAACTGGGACAATTGGAACATCAAAAACATAATTATGGTAATGGATTCTAATATATTGAGTAAGAGAGTCTGTGAATCCATAGTGATAAAAAATGGTGGGGTGAGAGGGGATATTCTTCAAGAATAATATGAATAAACTTAGATGGCCTATTTTGCAATATCCAACCTATTAATTGATTCAGGCAAGTCATCAGTTGATGCTAAAATCATTAGGTGAAAGGTCAAGGATGTTCACATAATCTGAATATATCTCACATATTATTTAATTATAGGGAGAATAAGGTACCTTGATGATGGCATGATCTGACATGCATTGTTTTAATCAAAGAACAAATACAGCCTTGCTGTGGGACAGAGTGACTTTATGTGCATTGGATGTGATGTTCATCATCTATAATCTTGCCCCTCCCAAAATATAACCTGAATCTAATCATGAGGAAATTTTCAGACAAATCCAGAACATGGAATAGTTCTGAGGCTGAGGTTCTATATAGACTATATAACCAAGGCATAGTGGGAGAAAGGAGGAAGACTGGCCTGGAAGAAAAATGAGGATCTTATTTTTAAAGTTTACAGTTCAGTGGTTTTTAGTATATTTACAATTGTGCAACCATCACCACTAATTCCAGGACATTTTCATCACCCCAGAGGGAAATCCCTGTCCATTATCAGTCCCATTCCATTCCCTCCTCCCTCCATTCCCTGGCAACCACTAATCTATTTTCTGTATCTGTCGATTTGTCTGTTCTGGACATTTCATGTAACTGGAATTATAAAAGAAAAGGTGGCCTTTTCTTGTGATTGGCTTGTTTTTTTGTTTTGTTTTTTAAACTTTTTTTTTAAGATTTTATTTATTTATTTGACACGGAGAGATCACAAGTAGGCAGAGAGTCAGGCAGAGAGAGAAGAGAAAGCCAGCTCCCTGCCAAGCAGAGAGCCTGATGCGGGGCTTGATCCCAGTACCCTGAGATCATGACCTGAGCTGAAGGCAGAGGCTTAACCCACTGAGCCACCCAGGTGGCCCTGATTGGCTTCTTTGATTTAGCATAATGTCTTTAAGATTCATCCATACAGTAGTATGTATCAGTACTTCATTCCTCTTTATTACAGAATAATACTCCATTGTATAGATATACTACATTTGTTTATCTGTTCATCAGTTGATGAATGGTTGCCATTTTTTGGTTACTATGAATAATGTTGCTTATGAACATGTATGTACAAAATTTTATTTAGACCTATATGTGATTTTCAGTTTGCAATGGGGATTTGAAGCCAAATTTTGCCTTTTTGTAGTGCCTCCCACTACAAATCTTTATGCTCTTAAGCATGTAAGCTTTATTCTTAGGAGAATGGTAGCAGGTAGTGTCAGTGTTCTTCCTTATGTACTTTCAGATCTCTTTTTCATTTTCTTGCACACGGATACTCCCAACATCCAGCAAATGTGTCTCTGTTGAAGAGCTGCTTCTGAGCTCTTGAACACGTTTTATATGCTTGGAAAGAGAGGCAAACATGCTTAGGACTTTATATCCCACCAGCAACAGCCCTTAGCCAATGACTGATGAGATTGGGTATACATATTTTGTTTCTCTTCAATCTAATTGGAACAACTTTTAGGTCAGACCTATACTGTATTTCAAATTCCGCACAGGATTGAGCCATATTTAACCCTTGCTGTAGTTACTCCACAAGGCTTTGTTTAATGTCACCCTTGCCTTGCCTACTAGCCTTCCTGATCTCATTTCCTCACTACACTAAGGTTTCTCTTGGGAACACACTTCACTTTCACACTGATCTTTGTTTCAGAGTCTGCATCTAAAGCTTATGTCAACAATCCCAAGAACTTTAGCACATCGTAAATAGAAATTTAGAAGGAGAAAGGGATGCCTCTATAGGCAGGTCCACTTAACAACAGTGAGAGGGGTTAGTTGATAGCCATAATAATAACAAGGGAAGAACCAGAAGCACTATAAAAAGCAAACATAACTAAAGGAAAAACTAGTCTGGAGCTTAACCTTCGTTCCTCAGTAGTCCCTGAAGTCATTCCCATGTTCAGTGCAATAATCAGTGTTCACAATCATGACTAAATTACCAAAGAAAAGTTAAATTTTTATCCAGAAAAAAGAGGCATATCCATGTGTAATGCATTTTAGAAAACTTTGCATCAAAATAAATATGAGATATTGAATAAACATTTCCTTACAACACTTCATTAAAATGACAGTAAAAGGAGATAAGGGGGAACCCTACAATCCC